CGACGTCTGCCGGCATTGCCGGCGGCCCTCTGCGCAGCATCCCACTCGGGATTGTTTCCCAAAGGAGTGTTGAACGGGCCAAGAGCAGCATCGAGGTCAATCATGGGCGACGATATGTCCTCAGCCTTTCGAGATGAAGTCGGTCTGGGAGGCGTGGGCGATTCAGTAATCAAGACGGTAGGCGGGGCTGGTGACGGTTGATCGTCGATATCCATCGCATCATCCTCTTCCTCCAAGGCCACCGCGGAGGCAGGGGGCGTAGGGGGCCGAACAGCATACTTGGACCGTTTATCGTCTTTCTGTTTACGGTGCAGTATGGAGCCTGCCCAACCCTTGACTATCTTTCGCTTCTTGCTCTTCTTCTTGTCAGCCTTGGACCTGTTGTCCTCGGCGGGGGAATCTGAGCCAAGGTCGGATGAGGATGCTCCGGATACGACCCGCGTGGCCGATTCGGCGGAAGAGGCACTATGTGGGCGATTCTTGCTGGGAGGGCCGTGTCCTGCGAAAGCGTCCAGTCCAAAGAAGGTCCACCGCTTGGGCTTGGTCGGGCTCGGTGTTGGCGGCTCTGAGACAGTCCTGGCTGCGAAATCCGCAAGGGCAGGGATGGAATTGCGGCGCCGAGGCGAAATAGTTTGCCCATCTGCTTGGAGTGTAGGAGGGCGCTCGAGGATGGCGCCTGCTGTACTTGGTCGCGAATCAGGATCCTGTGAGGGGCTACGTGATCGTGACGCCGGACTCTCGCGTCCTGTCGGTGAGCTTCCAGGTACGAGTGAGGAATGGCTCCCAGAGACAGTGTGACTGGGTCTGGCGGTGATTGTGCTGGAGGTGTCGGTTGACACCAATGAGAGTGGTCGAGGGATGAACTCGAGAGTGTCGGAAAATCCAACGCGAGCGCGCGATGCTGGCTTGGGAGGTGGCAGGTCGTCCTCCTCTCTGCTCGACGTGTTCTCAGCAGGCGGCTGCTCCAATCGAGGCTCCTCAGCAGGTGGGGGAATGGGCACCGGGGTCCGCTCGAAATCGGTAGGTGAGTTGGGCGCACTGCTTCCCTTGAATGAGAAATCCTGTTGTGGAGGAGGCAGCAGGGACAGGTCGTTTGTTGACAAGGCCGAAGAAACACCACGTCGGTGACCCCTGCGTGGAGGCGCCAGATTCACAGAGGAGCCGAATTCTGACTTGATAGGGCTGGTGCCCATTACGGCAATCGAATTGCCTTCACGAATTCTTCCTCCTACAAACTCGCTGCCCCCTCGCCGATGGCCATGTTTGGGCCTGTCGCCTGATGGCAGAACCCTGGGAGACTGAGGGGACAGAGGCGGGCTCATAGCGGGTGCCATTGGATCGGGCGGCAGTGAGGCTCCCGGGTTGAAGCTAAAGGCTGGCAGCGCAGCGCGACCAGCTGACCTCTCCGTCGCCAGGTGATAAGACTGCGTCGAGTTCTCAATGGCTGACATTGGGCGTCTCCTGGATGTCCTAGCCGGTCTGGCCTGGTCGGTCGTGGTGCCATCGGGGCTCGCAGGCGCAGCTGGAAAGCTGAAGGTGGGATTGGGAGGAGGTGCCTGTCGGTGCCCCAGCTCGGGCGCACCCATATTGTCGATGAGGGGGGCCCTCAGGTTCGGCTCAGGTCCGTATGCTGAAGCCATAATAACCTCCAGCCGAACCGCGGCACAGAACTGCTGGGCGGCTAGGCAGTCGGATCAATCATAAGAATAGGCGGAGGTGATGGCAATGCTCGAGGTCGAGGTCGAGGACTGAGACGACACTAGTCTGCACTGATCGCTTCCTAATTGTGTATCGAGAACAAGAGGGTTCGGGGGGGTTGAATATGCACACTGGTAATTATTTGAGCTGTGATTCATTGTGAGTCTTCTGCTGCAGCACTGCAAGAATGATGGTTCATCTGGGGAGGCGTACCTGAATGGGAGAACAGCGAGACGAACGAGACGGGCATTCAAAAAGCACTGTAGCAGCAAACAAAGGAGCGGACGGCCAAGACCAGCAGACAACTCAAAAGGAGAGAAGGCAGACTGGAATCGCACCAGGCGTTGAAAGCATCAACGGAGAGAAACACGCACGAGCGCGGCGAGGATAGAGGGCCGCGACGTCGACAGGTGAGCGTGAATGCGAGAGGTTGAGAAGAGGAGGAATGAATGTCGGGAGCCAGTCAGTCAACGGAGGCACCGCCAGGCCTGGGGGGGACGATGGGTGGGCGGGCGTGATAAGGAAGGGCGCCTGCCTGGTCAAGACTCAAGAGCGCCCGGAAATGGGAAGTGGACCCCCAGTGGAGCCAGGTCAGTCACTGTGCTCAGCCAGCCCAGACACGAAAGACCGCTGGACGACGCTGGACGCAGAAGCAAAAAGCGGGTTCTTCTGTGGGGGCAGTATCGAAATCCGCTTTTGTTTTCGGTCCCCAAGATCCTTGCTGCACGCTTGGCCCGCCTCGACCGGGGGGGCTCGATGCCTAGCGCTTGTCCCTCGCATCTCGTTAGCGTTGATCACTATTATCCGTGCGTACGACTCGCGAGTGACTGGACTGCCTCGAGCTTCGACTCTCGAGATGGTCGCTCTTTCAATTATTAGGTTGCTCTAGTCGGTGTGTTGAGATTAAGTTTCGCGGCGCGCGCCACATTCTCCCGTCAGCAATCGCTGATCGAAATTGTCCGTCATTTGACAGAAGCAGCCAAGAACGAAGGCTGAGTGATGTGCGCATTCTCTTTGGCGACAGCCACGCCCTAACTTATTACATGTAAGCCTGCGGAATGGCCGGCCTCGATCACCACCACTACGTACGTACAACGGACTGACTGTTCACGGGCCTAGCCAAGGATCGTCTGGAGACTCATCTTCACGGGTCTGCCAGGGCGATTCTGGGCCGACACACTGAGTGACCATGCATGTTGCAGCTCGCCATGAGCCATGGTATCGTATATGTCCCGCACTTTCTCGGCAGCATGACGGTCATTGTCAGCGTTTCTGGGTAATTATTATTAGTGCGTGGATGGATGAAGTCAAGCCAAACGAACTCAGCTCTCGTTGGAACAATAACGCTGGGTGTCGGCAGTGCCCAGACGCTAGGCCGCCGTTGCTTTGACGAGGCTGCCTTCTTATTGGGTGAGGTGAGCGTGCCCAGACCACACTCCAATGTCAGCTGCGCGTGCCTGCATATGCATCTTTTTATGCAGCTCACCATCCTGTCTCTCCCTTCTCCTTGCTTGCACATAAGTTACGCACTTGTGCTGGCCTCTCAGGACTAGCCGAAGGGGGGACGACATGGAGCCACCACCACTGGCCAGTCGAATGACCTGTATTGTTATTGTTCAACAAGGCGGTGGGACAGGCCTCGCCCTATGCGGCCATTGTTGCATTACATATCATCAAGAGAGTGAAGAGAGTGTCTTGCTGCCGCGTTTCGCCCGCCGATCGCTGGTGAAGACATCAGATGCCGACTAACACGGTGCCCGGTGCCCAGTATATGGTTGCTTCATAGGTACGTGTCTGCGAGGCACATAAGTTATTATTGTACGCGAATGGCCGTCGGGTGCGGAGGCTGCCTGTCGATTGAGTAACTTGTTGCCGTCCACGATCGTGGCCATCACATTTCGGTGGTTGTACCTAGCTGATTGCTCATCCGAGACCACAGACATTTATGAGCAATCAACTTTCTATGCTGCGTCATTGCTCCAGGTACCATTATCTAGACCTTAGCAGGCGGTTCTTAAGTACAACGGTTGATCAGGACACTACCTAATCTGGATTATGGGTGAGGCTATGCATCTTGGCACGACCAATACCACTACGGAATTAATGGCTCGTTTCCGACAGATGGCCCCTTTCGGATCTCTCGATGCGCGAGAGACAAACAACACTGTACGTACCTGTAATTAACCACGTAATGCTGCGGGCGGCTCCAAGAAGACCCTGGCAACCGATGGTCCGATGGAAGCAACCGCGTCCACAGTCCACTGTACCTGTCAATTTGCGCCTCCAGTCTTTGGGGACTGGAGCTGGCCCTCGTCATCCAGCCAAGCCCGACGGGACCAACACATGCCCAATGCCGCGCTACGCACGTTCAGAGGCCAGCTCCATGTCCTCGGTCGACTATTATCGCCTCGCCAATGCGAAACACTGTCGAAGGGCGATACGTCGCCTATGCAACTGCGAAAGTGCAATATCCTGCGTCCTAGCCAGCACGCTCCCTTGCATGCACCGCGCGAGTGAAGATTCATGGCCACTGTCTGACACGTTTGTTCACAATCACAAGAGAGACAAGGCTGTTTGAGCTGGGCGAGCTCAGCCAAGGGCCCAAGATGGTTTTAGCGTCAATGAGGTCATCTAACCGCATTCCCGACAATCGTGTGCCGAATACCTCCCATGCATCATGGGTCGCTGTCGCTGAAGAGTGTTGTTGTGGGGGCGGAAACTGAACTTCAACTGAAGACACGCCTATGGGTCATGGCATCTTGTTATTGCTTGGTGGAGTCGAAACTTATTATTAGCTGTGGCCGCCCGCCCTGCGCCGCCTTTATTGTGTTTCTTGTGTCTTGTACATTGCGATAAATCACGATGAACGGCAAATCTCCCTTCCCTGCATCAGTTCATCTCTCTAAGAGCGATTATTAGAACCACGAGTGGACCGAGGAATCTTGAATGTAGATTGAGAAGACGGCCGCAATACATTTCAGCATGCCAATAATAATCACACAAGCTCATGCAAGTTGATTCGCTATGTTGTCCCGTAATTACCTGCCTCAATGGAGGCAGTGGGAATTCAGCGCTTGAGCCAGGAAATTGACGAATTTAGTAGCGCAGCCAGTCACAAGCCCGTCTGAAAGATCGGATTTCAGAATTCGCGTCCTGTCAATGAACTGTGAACTTGAAAAGCGCGTTGTGGAGAATTGGACCCTGAAATTCCAGCCCCCTTTCCGGTCCGGTCATGCGCCACAATTCTCAGACTCTGGCCGGTGTGGGGGAGACGCAGCGCTCACCGCCTGCTAAGTCCCCGCTGATTACTGGCGGGCAGAAAAAAATCCACGAGAGAGACTGGGAATCGGGTGCTTGTCGCATTTCAGCGCACCAGCTGGGTCACTACGTACTACACAGCAACACATTAAAGCCATCCCAGATCATGTCCACCGCCCCGACCACGACGCCAGCGGCTGGCGATACCACGACGAGCAAACCTCTGGGTATGCGCAAGAATGGTATGTGCGCCTTGCTTCAGCCTGCGGTGGGGCTGAGATTGGGGCATTAATTAACACCATCGCAGGCAAGCAATGGCACGAACCCAAGAAGGCCTTCCGTCCGACCCGTGGACTCAAGTCCTACGAGAAGCGAACGCAGGAGCGTGCGCTGATGGCGCAAGTCAAGGCCAAAGAGAAGGAGATGAAGGAGGAGAAGCAGCAGGAGCACAAGGTAAGGACACTTCGACATCTACGATTCGACAAACTCGATTCTGACACTCTTTCCACAGGAACGAGTTGCTGCCATCAAAGAGAAAAGAGAGAGGAAGGCCGAGAAGGAACGATATGAGGAGCTGGAGGCAAGGATGCACAAGAAGAGAGTGGAGAGGCTGAAGAGGAAAGAGAAGCGCAATAAGATGATCAACTCCTGAGGCAAAGTAGTTGGCGAGAAGGAATTTTCCATGCAGGGCGTATTTCGGCTCGCCCATTCGCCTCACGACTCCGATCAGCCACCGACCGGGGCTGGAGCTTCAGCTCTGACCAGAATGTCTCCCGTTGCTCAGGCGCATGGACAATGCCCACGGGAATTACCGACCACGCCCTGGCCGGAAAAGACACGGAACGAAGCCATGATAGATCTCACACTGGGTGGAAACAATGGCGTTGCACAGGCAGGCGTTTGGGTTACTGGCTCTGATTCACACACGATATCATATCTAGCGTTCATACACACGAGTAGCAGGAACCAGCAGCCCACTTGATCGCGACCGTACACAGACATGAATGCAGCTCTCGGACTTACATAGTAACTGTCTCGCATATAATTGTCTTTCACTCACATTGAAAGCGTGAATTAACATTAATTAGATGAATGGCGACACGTGAAAGAGCCGGGTGTCACCATCTGCCGCCCCACATTGCTGCACCCGCCCGCTGGGCCCTGTCTCGGCCTCAGCAAGTCCCGCGCGTGGATCCCTCCGTCACCTTGACTTTTGATCTGCCTTTGAACCAGTGCAAGCGTGCGGCCGGCAGCTCCGGGACGATGGGCACGCCACGCTCACCACCTCCGTCCGCGGGTCCTGCCCTGCCCCCTTCTAGACCCGGCGGACGACACCAGGTCAAACGCTCGTTGACGGAGCTGACATCCGTGAAGCATGGCCCATTAACCGCAGCGACGCACCACATCAGCCGACACTCGATCCATCACCAGCACCATCATCGCCATCAACACGACGAGCGGACGCATGGACGCGGTCCCCACCACTACTTGAGAGCCTTTGAAAAGGGACCCCAGACCGCGCACCCGGGCCTAGGCGGAACGCGTAGTATGCTCGACATGTCACAACCGGACCAGCTGGGTCACATTCGGGGCGAGAGCGTCAACGTCGTCACACAAGTCAATGGAGCTGAGGAGGCACGCGTCAAGAAGGAGGCGCTAAGGAGGGAAACAGGCAAGGCTGAGCACCGCGCCGATGGTCTCAAGCGATCGATTGTCGAGCTCAACGCATTTTCGTCCACGGCCACACGTCGACTCGATGAAACATACTACGCCGTGCTCGAGAAGGCGAGCGCTCTGCAAAACACGATCATGGCACTCAAGGACTTGGCTGAAGGGTCAAAGGAGATATACGGCACATTCGAGACCGAGGCTGCGGAGCTCGAGAGCGACATACGGCGCCAACTGGACGGCCTGGGCAGTTTTGAGGGTCAGGAAAACAAGATCAAGTCCCTGCAGAGCCGGATCGGCGAGGGCAGGACGAAGATGAGAGATCTCAGCGCACGCGTCGACGCCGTGCGAGAACGAGTCGAGAGCTGGGAGCGCGCAGACCAGGCGTGGCAGGACAGGACAAGGCGGCGGCTCAAGGTGGCCTGGAAGGTCGTCTTCATCTTCATCCTCGCTGCGGTCGCACTTCTCGTCGGGCTCAGCTATCTACACCCGCAAGAGCATTCTGGAACAACGCTGGACGAGTTGCGAGATGCGCTGCCGCCGAGTCTCCGGCAGAAAGCGTTCAACATCTCGCGACGGGTGCCCGTGTTATCGAACAGCGAGGCGGGGGGCGACGCCGAGCTGGGCGATGTTCTGCGACGGACGGCCCCGACAGACAGGGGGGATTTGTTGCGAGACTTTGACGAGCTGTGATACTGGAGGTTGTCTGGATGGGCGCGCTCTACTTGCCGTCCCATTCTGTAGCGTTTTCAAATGATACCCAGTGATTCTAGCCCATAAATAATCTCACAAGCTTCTATCGAGCATCGCCATCTAGCTGGGATCCAGTACGGTCGGGTACGTGTATTCAGCATGCATGCAGCAGTGCACCGTGAATATTGTGGGGACGATGGCGCCGTGTCAGATTAGTCTAGACAGGGCTACGGCTGGGCAAGGCTTCGATCAGGAGGGGATCAGTTCTTCCGTCCTGCGCAAGACGGTGATGATCTTGACGAATATTCACCAGCACTTGCGCACGGTGGCTGCGCAGTGTCTGGTCATGAGTCGTAGCAGAAGGCGACTGAGACGCCGGAATCGACTTGGTGGTTCGTTACGTACGTACCAGGTACCGTTCTACAGCGGGCGGACAGCCCACGTCATAGCGCGCCCGATGCGGCGAGAGCTCTAAAATTACCTACCTTAACAGATGCGCCCCCACCATCAAACAGTCGCTGGACTCTGGACTTCTGGAGGGTCAGCCTTCAATCCAGTCCAGTCCATTCAGTGTCGATGCATCCATCTTATCCAGTCTCTTCTGAGTCCAGTTCATTTAGTGTTTACAGTGTGTGATGGAAGATAGAGTACCAGACGCGTGTAGCTGTGGAATCATGAAAGCAGCCCAATTGTCCCACTCAGCACGCCAGGCCATCTGGAGGCTGAGTCCAGTCCAGTCCTGACGACTTTTATGCCTAACAGACCTGCAGTGAGCCCTACGTATCCCGCAAGCTTGGCTTGGCCCCCCATGACCGCGCGTCCTCGTGGTTGGCAGCATCAGATCAGTCAATTGACATAATATATCATTCCTGTCCCAGCCAAGCTCCTTCCCACCCCGCCTTGCCCACGCACCTATAATACTGTCCCTCTGGCGGTTTTCTTGTCGAGACCAAGACCTGCCGACCTGCCTGCTCTCGCCGCGACCATTGATACCCTCTTTGTTTTGTTCTTTTTCCTAGCATTTACGATCGATCCCTGCACGCTATGGTGTCCGCCGAGACCGACAAGGCTGACGATGCTGGAGCCGTCGCCGCCTCCTCAGCACCCTACGATCCTGTCGAGATGCCCATCCGCACGGCCAGCAACAAGAGCCTGCCTCCGCCGGGCTCCTCCCTCACGGGCAAGCAGGAGCATTACCTGAAGCGCGAGCTCATCTCAGAGCAGGTCAAGTGGGAGATCAACGAGCTCAACTCGCCCACGGCCCTCCGACGCTTTGGCGCGCCCTTCAAGTCCGACCATGGCGAGGTCGCGCCGCACGAGTCCGAGCTGCCGGTCCTGCGCTTCATCTTCGTCCACCACATCCGCGACTTTCCCTTCCTCGACAAGGCCCGCGAGAAGGAGTTCTGGCAGGATAAGCTGCAGGTCTTCCTCGAGTCCTTTGCCGGCAAGCACATCTCCTCCTCCGAGGACCGCCTCGAGGAGACGAAACGACGCAAGCTGGCCATCAAGGCCCGGAAGCTGGTCGAGCTGATGATGGTCTCGGGCATCGGCACAACCTCTGGGTTCGAGGAACGCATCCGCTTCTCCGAGATCGAGATTGTGGACAGCAACGCCATCGACTCGGGCGTCATGCACAACATGCCCGAGGGCAACTACATCAACGGGTACGACGTCAACGTGGCCGGTGTCCGTGTCACCACCACCAAGGGCAAGATCCGCACGCACAAGCATGCCGAGTTCCTGCTGCGCATCAAGAGAAAGGGCGAGCTGGAACACTTTGTCGCGAGGCGGTACGGCGACTTTGCCAAACTCCACCGGAGGCTACGGCTGGAGCTGCCGGGCAGACCCTTGCCCACGCTGCCCAAGAAGAACAAGTCGGATTCTACGGCGAGTGGTCTACTGGGCTCCTGGGGCGGAGGCGGCGGCGATGACCCCGACTCGGATGGAGAGTCTCTATCCTCGCATGAAACGGGGCGAACAGGAAAGTCTGCGCGGGGCTCATCTTCGCTGCTTTCGCCAAACAATAGTGGTGGGTCTGCCGTGCTGTGGATGAGTACGGAAGCTGACGAGAAAACAGGTCGTGGAAATGGCTCGTCTGGGGCGTCTATAAGGTCGGGAATCTCGAGAAAGCTGGGCACACCGAGGACGTCCACCGATGGCCGACTAGCACCTCCTGGGGCGCAACCTGTCGAGGTACGTATCTTCGGTATGGATTCTCGTACTGATAGCTAACGGGGCGGCTCAGGATGTCGTCCTTTGGCGCGAAAACCAGCGAGTGTCGCTGCGCGCCTTCATCAGGTCGCTTTTGCACAACCCTCAGATTGCCAACACCAAGGCGGTGCAGGAGTTTCTGTCAGGCGATCCCACAACCCCGACCGACGATGATGTGGAAGACATTATGCGCAGGAGAGAGGTCGACGAGAACCGCATGGAGGAGCAAAGGAAGTTTTACGAGATTGCTCGGAAACGTGCGGCCGATTTGGACGAGTACATGGAGCAGTAAGTGGCGCACCACTCTTACTCAGTCGTTGGGTAGGGCACCAGCTAACAGCCTCGCAGGTTCCGTCGCGATATTGTCGAGCGGAACGGACTCACCAAGCTATTCGCCGAAATCAAGGAGAAGGAGACAATCCCCGACCTCAGCATCCAGTACCGGAAGTTTGCCGAGTGGCTACGTATCGAGATCGCCGCCGTCATCTACCACATCTTCCTGGCGGAGGACAACTCGCCCGAGCTGTTCGCTCAGGCCAAGCGCATCCACTCACTAATCCCATACACGGTCATCAAGAATGTCATTCGGATAGCAAACCCAGCGGCTGTCATGTCGAGCGTCCTTGATGTGTTCCTCGCTCAGCCGTTCGGCACGCGGTCTCTGCTGCAGCGCATCTTCTCGCTCACATTGAACGATGGTATCAAGAGCTTCCAAAAGTCCATTGACACGCTCAGCGCCAAGATTGGGGACGACGCCTTCACAAGCAAGCTGCAGAAGTACACGCGGGCAGAGGATCACATCAAGGCTGCCATTAGAGAGGAGGCCGAGTCGGAGGAAACAGACATTATCGTCGTCATTCTGCGCTCAGATCTCCTCGAGCCAGAGTTGACCGGCGAACAGATCCAGCGGCTCTTCAACGCATACGTGGCCTTCAACAACGCAGTCGAGAATATCGATGAGGAGCTGCGCCAGGGCGCCCAGCTCTTCTCGTATCTCAAGCAGCTCCTGAAGCTATGCACGCGCCAGCGCGACAAAGAGATGATGCTGGAGCTCATAGAGGAGCCGACCACGTTGCAGCTGTTCCGCGATCTGTTTACCATCTTCTATGAGCCCCTCGTCCGTGTCTACAAGTCCGCCAATGTCTACAACAGTGTCACGGACTTTGCCGTGTTCGTCGATGATATCATCAAGGTGAGTACTTTATGAGTGAGTCGACTAGCTGAAGCAAGCGGGCTAACAGTGATCGCACAGGTCGTGGACAAGTGTCGGAATCAGGACGCCTCTGCCGATCCTAACCAGACCGTCCAGGCTTTTATCGATTTGTGCGCGCGACACGAGCACAACTTTTACAAGTTTGTGCACGAGGTGCACGTCCACGACAACGGTCTCTTCACGCAGTTGATGGGATGGATAGAAGGCATCCTGGAATTCCTGCGCAAGGGACCCGCGAACGGCAAGCTCAACATTAACGCTCTCTTTGAGGGTGGCGTCGGTAGCGGCACCGTGGACAAGGACAGGGCCATTGCCGAGATTGACTCGCTCATTGCCTGGCAAGAAGCCAGGAAGAGGTGGCACAATGACAAGACCAGGCAGAAGATGGCGGCCGAGGGCCACGCCGGTGGCAACATGATACCCGCCGGCTTCAAGTCGACAGACTTTGGCCTGGACGGCGAGGATCTTGAGGACATGAACTACGACGATGGATCAGAGGACGAACAGGAGGCAGAAGAGGAGGACGAGCTGGACCCGATTGAGGCAGAACGGCGCCGACGAGCGAAGCGACAGGATCGTCTTCGTCGTTCGGCCGGTGAGCCCGTCAAGCCGCCAGTGGCAGAGGTACACAAGCTCAAGGATAACTTCCTGGTCATGTTGCGCCAGGTGCTCGCCAACTAGTTAGACTAGACTTTCAGCATGTCCGCAGGGAGCGGACGCCAGGAAGGGGTTTAGACATGGGGCGGGTGCTGTTTGAGAGACAGCTCTGCATCCTCATAGAGCAAAGCACCCCTAGAGGCAGTCTTTGGTACAATTGCATAGCATTGGCTTTCTTCGTCCTCGTTTCGAACATGAACCCCCGACAAATCACAACTGGGGTCCACTTGGCGCGAACCTCGGCTTTTCACCGCGCATTCTGTAGCTGAAGAGTGGTGACGCGCACATACAGCCCACATGATGAAAAGAGTCCTCTCATTTGGACCATTGGAAATGCCAGGGCGTCAAGTGAAAATACATTTGATGAAAATGCACATGAATGACACGGCGAAATTAGGAATAGCTGAACATCAGACATTCGGTGAATACATGAGCCGGGACGGTGTAGGGTAGGCTATAACCATGACTAAGCTGCTCATTACCTTTGCGCGTGCACTGATTGGCTGAACGTACCGAGAAGCCGACTGGACTGGGAGTCGGGCAGGTGCAGCTCCAGTCCGTGGGAAGGAGCCCGGGCAGGCCAGGAAGGCGCAGGCGAGCCAGCCAGCGAGCGCTGCAGCAGGAGCCGGATCGTTGAAATCATCGATTGGCCACGCAAGTTGCTGGTATTTCTTCATCCGCAATTCCACCACACCTCACCACCAGCACAGCACCAGCGCAACCCGGTCCATGCAGATTGTCGTTGACCGCACATACTGCTGACGATGGCTTCTTCCATGGCTTTGAGGAGATTGGCCACTGGCTCCTCGGTACGTCCCAATCCCACGCGACAACCGCCGGCCATCAGCCAGACAAGACAGACAGGACGAGATCGCTGACCGAGGCAGTTTTCGAGGTTGGCTAGCAACCAGGCCCGAGCATTTTCCACGACGCGACCGGTTTGTGAGTACACCTGCGACACCAGCATGCTCAAGCCCTCGGACTGACTTGTCGACTCTAGCCCGCGTTATCTCCAACGGTCCTCTGCGTGCAAAGGAGGCATCACCCTTTGTGAGCAACAAGTATCCCGTCATCGTTCGTCTTCCCCCGACCTCCCCGCCTCCCATCGTCGACCTTACTAACAACGCGTGCAGGACCACGAGTACGATGCTCTCGTTGTCGGTGCCGGTGGTGCAGGTCTTCGCGCTGCCTTCGGTCTGGCCGAGGCTGGCTTCAACACAGCCTGTATCTCCAAGCTCTTCCCCACACGATCCCACACAGTCGCTGCCCAGGGTGGCATCAACGCCGCGCTCGGCAACATGCACGAGGACGACTGGAGGTGGCACATGTACGACACCGTCAAGGGCTCCGACTGGCTTGGTGACCAGGACGCCATTCACTACATGACCCGCGAGGCCCCCCAGTCGATCGTCGAGCTCGAGAACTACGGCTGCCCCTTCTCCCGCACGGAGGATGGCAAAATCTACCAGCGTGCCTTTGGTGGCCAGTCGCAAAAGTACGGCAAGGGTGGCCAGGCATACCGCTGCTGCGCGGCCGCTGACCGAACCGGCCACGCGCTCCTCCACACGCTCTACGGACAGTCTCTGCGCCACAACACAAACTACTTCATCGAGTACTTTGCTCTCGACCTGATCATGCAGGACGGCGAGTGCCGTGGTGTGCTCGCCTACAACCAGGAGGACGGTACCCTGCACCGCTTCCTCGCCAACCACACTGTCCTGGCCACCGGTGGTTACGGACGTGCCTACTTCTCGTGCACATCCGCCCACACCTGCACTGGTGACGGTATGGCCATGGTCGCCCGTGCTGGTCTTCCCAACCAGGATCTCGAGTTCGTCCAGTTCCACCCTACCGGCATCTACGGCGCTGGCTGCCTGATCACTGAGGGTTCTCGTGGTGAGGGTGGTTACCTGCTCAACTCGGAGGGTGAGCGCTTCATGGAGCGTTACGCCCCCACCGCCAAGGATCTCGCCTCTCGTGACGTCGTCTCCCGATCGATGACCATGGAGATCCGTGACGGCCGCGGTGTTGGCGCTGAGAAGGACCACATCTACCTCCAGCTCAGCCACTTGCCTGCCGAGGTCCTCGCCGAGCGTCTGCCCGGTATCTCTGAGACCGCTGGCATCTTCGCCGGCGTCGATGTCCGCAAGGAGCCCATCCCTGTCCTGCCCACCGTCCACTACAACATGGGTGGTATCCCCACTCGCTACACTGGTGAGGTTCTCACTGTTGATGAGCAGGGCAACGACAAGGTTGTTCCCGGTCTGTTCGCCTGCGGTGAAGCCGCTTGCGTGTCCGTCCACGGTGCTAACCGCCTGGGCGCCAACTCTCTGCTCGATCTTGTCGTCTTTGGCCGTGCCGTTTCGCACACCATCCGCGACAACTTCACCCCCGGCGAGAAGCTGAAGCCCACTGCCGCCGACGCCGGTGCCGAGCACATTGAGGTCCTCGACAAGGTCCGCACCTCCGAGGGCCCCAAGTCGACCGCCGAAGTCCGCCTGGCCATGCAGAAGGCCATGCAGACCGATGTCTCCGTCTTCCGTACCCAGGAGAGTTTGGACGAAGGTGTCCGTAAGATGCAGGAGATTGACTCACAGTTTGCCGACGTCGGTATCAAGGACCGCAGCATGATCTGGAACTCGGATCTTGTCGAGACCCTCGAGCTGCGTAACCTGCTCACCTGCGCGTACGATTTTGTTTCCCCGTGAAGAACGAAGAAAGAAAATACTGATGGTTGTGTAGTACCCAAACCGCCCAGGCCGCCGCCAACCGCAAGGAGTCTCGTGGTGCCCACGCCCGCGAGGACTTCCCCGAGCGTGACGACGAGGAATGGATGAAGCACACCCTGACCTTCCAGAAGCAGCCCCACGGCAAGGTCGACATTGGCTACCGCAACGTCATCGCCACCACCCTGGACGAGAACGAGTGCAAGCCCGTGCCTCCCTTCAAGCGTGTATACTAAGCCCGCGGGAGTCTTGGGGGGAAAAGTCCCATCATAGATCAGTTGGAGGAGCTCCCCTTTTTGTGGATTCGATTTTGTTGTTTTCGGTGTTGGGTCGCACGCACGCTTTCGCGATGGGTTACAAAGGTGAAATATGTCTCTTTTGTAGTCGCATGTGGAGGAGGGAGAAACGGGATGTTGTAACTTGCATGATACACCCTTGATCGTCGGTTGGTTGCTGTCAGGGGACGAGGAGGTAGTGTTGCAGATATGCATCCTTGGGATGCTTGTAGGAAGAAAGTCAAAGTTCAATACTTTTAGTGTCATCTCCTGTGACGGCGGCACGTTTGAATCCATGCATTGCTCGACATGATCAACGCCTCAAGACAGGTCGGCAGTGGTATAAGAAACGACGGCTACGCTGCGCTACATACGATATGAATCATTCGCTAAATCCAAACTCAAACCCCAAGTGAACACCAAACCGATTCAGTGCTTCTGATAGAACCTCATCAGATCAGCCTTCATCTCCGTCTTCTCCTTCTTCATCTTCTCAATCTGCGCGTGCTGCAGCCGGTCCTTGTTCTCGAGCGCCGCAATCGTCTCCTGCATCCTAGCGATCTTGCTGTCCCTCTCGTGGAGCTGCGACCGCAGCACGTCCCGTCCCTTGGCCACGCCCTGCGCCCGTCTCTCTGCGGCGTCGATAATGGCCTTGACGGAGGCGAGGATCTCTGGCTTAATGTCCTTGACCTGGCGCAGGAGGCTCATGACTTGAGCGGTAGGGTCATGCTCCTGGTCCGGCGTCTCGGGGTGCGCTGACGGGTTGCCGGCCACGGTGGCACTAGAGCTTTGCGTTGTGCTCTTGGTCGGCGTGGTGAATGTGTCTTCCTCCTCGAAAGAGACGGTCCGTTTCTTCTTGGAGACAGGAAACAGCGTCCTCGCGGTACCCGGCGTCGGCAGCCCGTGCGCCATTCTCGTCGTGGCAGCCGGTGTCTGGGGCGTTGTCCCTTGCGGCGGCTGATCCGCCAGCGCGGCCATGGCCTTCTCATCATCCGAGTCCATGAGGCTAAGGAGGTCCTCATCCTCATCCTCGGTCCGCTTCCTCTTGCCCTTGCCCTTGCCCATGTCTCTGGTGGGTGACTCGCCGCCGCTCTCACTGGCCGTCGTGGTCGCATCGCTGGCTCTCCTCTGTCCTGGGGTGACCTTGATACCATAGTTTGTCAAGCGCCGTTGTGTCATGCTGGGCGCCTTGATCTGGACATCCTCTGCCTTTTCCCTCTCTACCTCGCTCGTCAGGATGGTCTTGCTGGGCGCCCCATTCTCGCGGCGCTTCGCATCGTCGTCCCACAGCCAGAACCGACACTTTTCCTTGGGACAACGGTAGAACCAGCGATCCTTGTTCTCCGAGTCGGGCTTCTTGACTTGGAGGTGCTTTGCTTGCTCACGGGGATCGCAGTTACCTACGTTCTTCAGGTCAGTGGGCCAGCACGGTTGAGAGGACGGAACCGAAGGGGAGGAGGCGCATACAGTACCACTCGCCGTCGAGGAAATGACCGTCAAGCCGTACTTTTGTCGCAGAGCCCGGAGTAGGAGGACCATTGCCGCGCCCTCTGCCTCTGCGGCGGGGTGTCGGAACCATGATCTGTTGCTGGAGATGACCCAGGCAGGTATTGAGGGACTGTGAGCTCATGGACTTGGGCGAGCCCCCGCAAATGGTGTGTGCGAGGAAGAGCAGCGAGGGCACTCATGAAAGGTCACTTATTAGTTAATACGTAAGTCTTGAGAGCGGCAGCTGAAAGCTGAGAATGACTGGAGGTGGTGGGTGTTGGGGGCGCGAGCGGGAGCAGCCGCACGAAACTGGGATTCGAGGAGGCTGGGGTCGTTCGCACAGCAACTACGTAGCGACGAGCGCTTCATTCAGGGTTCCTTCAATCATCATATTGAGTACAATTGCATCTCGCAGCTCCTGAGCCACGTATCCATACAGAAGCCCTAAATAAATCTAAAAGAACATAAGTAAGTATGAAAAGCCAGCGTTTGGCAGCGTGAAAGGCCTCAGTCTAGTCTTGTGCCCATATAGTCTATGCCCCAGTGCGATGGTTATCCCACGTATTCCCAACCCTCACGCCCATTAATCCATTCCTTTGCTCCGAAAATCCAACCCTTAGTAGCCAGCGCCAAGGTGGTCCGTCAGAGCCTTCTGGGTCTTGGCAAAGACGGTGTCAGGAGGCACGGTACCGTTGATCTTGACCAACTTGCCCTCCTTCTCGTAGTAATCCACGACGGGCATGCTCGTCTCGATAAAGGTCCTGAACCTCTTGCGGATGCTCTCGGCATTGTCGTCTGCGCGACCGCTGGTCTTGCCGCGCTCGAGCAGGCGCCTCTCCATCTCTTCCTCGGGTACATCGTAGAAGAGCACCATCTTGGCAGGGCAGACCGTCTCCTCGAACTTGTGCGCCTGGTCCATCTTGCGGGGGAACCCGTCGATGAGGAACTTGCCCTTCTTGCCGCCAGACTTTTGGAGAGCATCGGTCATGGCATTCTCGAGGAGCTGGACCGTCACCTCCATGGGTACGATGAGGCCATTCTTAATGTAGTCGCGGATTAGATCACCAAACTGGGAGCCGGGACGCTCTTGCTCAGCGCGGAGGAGATCGCCGGCCGACAGGTGGGTGAAGCCGTGCTGCGCGACGAGCTTAGCGCACTGCGTGCCCTTGCCGGCGCCGGGTCCTCCGAGAACGAAGAGGACAGTCACATCATCACCAGAGAAGGTGGGCGTCGACTTGGCCGGGGCCGGGAGCTGGGCGGTGTCGTCGGTGGGAGGCATCTCTGCGAACCATGTTAGGATCACTCATTGCTTCCGTGCGTGCGCGCGACCTACCCTTGCGACGGTTGACAAGGCCAACGTAACCAGCGGAACCGATACCAATGATGGCGAAGAAGGGCCAGAACTTGATGGCGCCGCCAGACTTGGGACCTTGCGAAGAATAGCCACGACTCTGCTGCTGCCGGCGGATGACACGAGGGGTCGAGAACTGCGCGGACGAGGCCGTGGTCGAGGGACGAGCCGCTGCCCTGCTGCTGCCAGCAGCCAGGCGGGATCGGAGGGGCATCATGCGGGAAGCCATGCTGGGGGTCGGAAAGGAGGGTGTGGGTGGAACGGACGGAGACTGGTGACGACTTGGAGCGAACAAGACGAGACCGTGTGATCACGTTGAGGGCCGATGCGCAGACACACGAGTTGGGCGTGTGATGGCTGTGGATTGCAGAGTCAGGAGGATGCCATCGGGTGGTCGCGGTATTATATTATAATTTCGGAAAATGCATGGGTGGACCTTTTACTTCAATTGACTTCGACTAAAGGGGCACTGAGGGAAGACGGACAGACGCGAAATCACGTGAGTGCGAGTCGCTCACCATAAGAACCTCACCTTGCCTTAATTAGTACCTGGACCAGTACTGAAGTCGTGGTCGTATCGTCATTCTTTTGTCTATGGAAAGCATACGTGAATCCCTCCACGATGACGGCCCGATGCGCCACCAGCTACGCCGTCTGCCATGACCTCCAATGTCTCACTCACTTCATCTGCCAGCCCCCTCGTCGGCTGGCGATGTCCAGGTGGAAGACTCTTTAAGAGACCGGCAAATATTAACACACAAAACAAAAAAAAAAGGTAAACAAGCAGCCCAGTCCATTCTTCTTAGTCGTCATTGTCGTTCCGCTCCCTGTGCTGCCGGCGGCCAGCACCACGATCGCCTCCTCGCTCACCACCCATGCCGACGCTGTTCAGCTTGCGCTCCAACTCCTGCACCTCGCGCTCCTTCTGCGCCTTGGCGTTGACCTGCTCCTGCTGGATGACGCCCAGCACGTTCTGCAGCGTCGCGCGCCAGTGGTCCACGCGCGTCGCGAGCTCGCGGTACTGCTTGTCGCCAAAGACGCGGTACGTCACCTTGTGCACGAGGAACAGGCGGCGCTGCTGCGACAGCTTGCCCTCCACGAGACCCGCCCGGATCACGTCAATGGCCCACATCTCGACGTCCTCCTCGGGGATCTGGAGCGCCTTGGTGATCTTGGCGTAGTCAATCTCGCGGCTCGGCGTCGTGGCCGCCAGGCTGGCAAACGTGAGCAGGCGCATCTTGCGATGCAGCTTGTCGTGGTCCAGCTTCTCCTTCTCGACCCAGCCCTCGTGCTCGTCGTTGAAGTCGTCGTAGTCCTCGAGGTCCTGCTCCGCAAACGTGTCCAGCAGCTGCGAGTACACCGGGTGCGAGTCGCTCAGCGCCTGCACGCTCGGGATCGCACGCAGGTCCTGGAACAGAAAGTGTGTGTTGGACAGCAGCGCCATCTTGACGGCCCGCAGCGATAACCGTTGCGCGTCCTCCGACGTCACCTCGCTCTTCTCGTCCTCGTCAAACGTCCGCAGCGCCTTGAGGATGAAGTTGTAGCCCTCCCTGTGTGTGATGTTAGCTCAGCCATCCTTGCTCCGCGCGTGGAGCCTTTATCAAAAACTCACTCCTCCTCGCCCGACTCAATGGCCACCTCGGCCACCTCCTCGTACACCTTGCGCTGAAAGTCCTCGTCCTTGTCCCACGTCTCGAGCCACTCGGGCAGACGCTCGAGGTAGGGCTTCAGGGCGTCGTACATGCTGTTGCTCTTGAGGAACTTGAGGATCTCCTGGAACACATTCGCCCGCACCGGGTCCTCGGGGCTGAGAAGGTTGAACACGGTGGTCAGGGCGTTCAGGGTCAGGCCAGCGCCGTGCTGGGGCGAGCTGGGCAGGGGCCGGGCAAAGGCCTGGCACAGCTTCTGGAGGTGCTTCTTGGGATCGGGGGACTGCATGACGAGGTGGATCATGAGGTTGGACGCCGCCGTGAACTCCTTCTCGGGGACCGCCGTCAGGGTCTGCGCCGATGCCACGAGCTTGGCGAGGATGTCGTCCTGGGAGGCGCCCGACGCGATCAGCTTCTTGGACTCCTCCGACTTGAGGTAGTCGGCCATCTCGCCGGCCAGCTCTTCAAAGGAGCCATCGACAAAGGTGAGCTGGGGGCGGTACCCCTCGGTGGTGGCAGCAGGCATGATGGGCGATGCGTTTGGCTCTGGGCAACTGGGCTCGGCCGGCGTCGTTCGATGCGATCCTGGTGTCGGCTCGGTCGTGGGACGCTTGTGATGTTGGTGATTGCCCAAAAATTCCTCAGGTCCGCCCGCGGGTATTTGTTTGCTCGTCTGGTCACGCCGGTTCGATTGTTCTCGGGTTCGCAATGAGAATATGCTCTACAAAGAGAAGCCTCGAATAACCCTGTGGTGGGGCTCTCCCCTCTGACACCCCGCCAAATTTTCTGCCACGCCAGGCAATGTGTGTGCGTGCTGTCCGAGGCGGCCACGGAACAACGTTAGTCCGTTAGTCGCTCCTGATGTCGTCTTTGGGAGTCCTTGATACTGCTGTGATATAGTATTTACTGAAGCAATCTCAATGTACAATCGTTTCATTCAATTCTGCCTTTTTTGAACCAAACTCCGCTAATGAAATGCCTGTGACAAGCTCAAACATCGTTTATATGTGTATCCCAAATCAAATACCAAGGCTGACCACCGTCACGCCTCACTTCACAAACCATGTACATGTATTACAGGCGTACGTCCAACCCACCACCTGCTAGACCAAGACTCCTCCCACTATCTACCGACCGTTCGTCTTCGACTTGGTATGTGGTTTCGCCGTCGCCGTCGTCTCATTTGTGGGGTAGATACTCGAGCTGTCGTCTCCAAAGAGCTGCTGGTCACCCTTGCCGCCCATCTCGATGAACTCCTGCGGGGCTCTCTCGTTCGCGGGCCCAGCCTCCTTGCGCGTGTTCGTGACGTTTTGCTTGTTCTTGGCGAACACCTTGACGGCGCTGTTGTTGCCGTCGACGGTGGCGGCGACCTGGACCGAGTTGAGGTTGGACAAGAGCGTGCGCTCGCGGGGCGGGGCTCTCCTATTGACCTCCAACCCGGCGATGCCCCCCACGAGACCACCAGTGCTGTCGTTCACATTGTTGCTCGTAGCTGTCAGCCACGGGTGTGATAGGCACTGGTCGATGGTGAAGCGCTTTTCAGGGTCCACCACCAGCATCGAGTCAATGAGATCGACTGTGTGGAGTGAGTAATGGCGGCTGCGATGGACAAACAATGTACTCACGTGCAGGATCACCAACAGAGTCCCAGTAGGGCGACGGGTAGTCGAACCGCCCGCTACGGATTTGCTGTGACAAGGTGTATGGGAAGTCTCTCGAGTACAGCTCGTCGGAGAAGGGCGGGAACCCGCAGAGACAGATGTACAGGACGACGCCAAGCGACCACACGTCAACCGCCTTTGTGTACCTGCGATGCTTGGTGTCGGCCAGGATCTCTGGGGCCACATAGCTAGGCGTTCCGCACAGCGTAGTCGTAAAGGACTCCTCGCCAATGATCTTGGCGAGACCAAAGTCCGCCAGCTTGACGTGCAGGTTCTTGTCGGTCAGAAGGATATTCTCGGGCTTAATGTCGCGATGCACAATGTTACGCTCATGCTGCTCGTGTGTTAGAGATGCATGCGTCTGCACGTGCAGATGAGGGGACGTACCAGGTACTTGATACCCTGGAATAGCTGAATGAACAGTTTCCTCGACTCGTCTTCGCTCAGCTTCTGCTTCATGACGATAAAGTTGAAGAGCTCGCCCTCGGCTGCCAGCTCCAGCACCAAATAGACACGGTCCTTCTCGTTGAAGGTGTCCTTGAGGCAGAGCACGTTGGGGTGGCTCACGCCCATCAGCACGCCAATCTCCTGCTGCAGGCCCTCGGTTTTCGAGCGGTCCTCAACACCCGGATGCCTGGTGAAAATCTTGACGGCGTATCGCTGGCCGGTGGACTTTTCCACGCAGAGGTAGACCTCGGCAAAGTGGCCCTTGCCGAGCTTCTGTAGCAACGTGTATTGCTGTAGGAACGCGCTCGTCTGGCGGCTGTGAGGGTATCGGAAAACGAAACGTGCGCTGCCGTGCACGGCAATCTCGTCGCCGTGCTCCAGCTCCCGCCGCTGGTTGCGACCGACGTACGCCTCGTTCACAAAGGTACCGTTCTGCGACAGGTCCTCAAGGATGGCCGTGGTATCGCTGCCCTTGTTCTCCGTGAAGATGAGGCAGTGGCGGTTTGACACAATGTGGTTGTTGACAATGACGTCGCACTCGGGGTGTCTCCCGATCAGGTATCCGCCAGACGGTGCGTTGCCAATCTTGCTCTTCTCGTATGCCTCTTCGTCGCCCAGCGTGTCTGGCTTCCCCTGGCGACTGCTGGCCTTCTTGTCCGCCGTCATCTCCTTGCTGGGCTTCGGGCATGCGCCCCTCCTCTTGAGCACCATGGGTCTGTCGCCATACTTGGGGTCCAGGGGAACGAGATAGCCCCAGACGCCCTCTTGGATCTCGTCCTCCTCCTCCTCGGCGAGCGCGACAGCATTCGGCTCGACAAACTGGCTGAGGGGCTGAGTGTCCTGAGGTGGCGACGAGAGGGCCTGGCTTAGCTCGTGCAGTTCCTCGGGCTTGCGAGGCGTACTCGCGCCGCCAACCTGACGCGAGGGGGATCTCTCCTTCGTGTCTTCCCCCGAGGTGAGCTGCGTGACAGGAGACGGCAGCTGCTGCTTGTTTTTGGTGACCGGGGTCTTGTCGCCCTCGCCAGGCTTCGTGAGACGGTCGGAGCGACGAGCTTTCTTGGACTCAGTCTCGCCCTCGGGAATCGAACCCTGTAGACGCATAGTCAGTCATCATGTTACCTCGGCGTGGGCATGGGGGGTGGACAACGCACACGAGGGCGCTTCAATTGGCTCTTCTCCTCTCGGGGCGGCATTGTGCGCGGTGACAAGAGCGGCTACAGAGCCGACCAGGCAGATGCGTGTCGAGATGGTAGCCCAGGCTACTGGTGACGTGGGGCGTGGTAAGAGAATGGAGTTGCCTGTCTGGAGAATTCACGACTCTTCTTGGATCAGCGTTCTAGCCAAGGCACGAATGGCGGGCGAGGCGACAGAAGAGGCAGGTTGAGCGGTGGCTGCCTGCACAGATGTGTGTATAGGAACGTCGAGATGAAATACAAATACGGACGTTGGGTCAGCGACTGGGTAAGGCAAGGCAAGGCAAGGCAAGGTACTATGGCAAAGACAGAATGGACGGAAGAGCGCTGATGGGTGATCCGAGTGATGTGATGCTGCAGCCACAGGAGGGTCTTCTTCCCCGGTCGGCTGTGCTGCCTGCTGCCGCGCGCGCGTCCGCGTGCTGACTGGAGCCCAGGCTTCTTCCTACACTGCAGGTAGAGGACTGGACCCGCCTGCCTGGCTTCGACTGGACTCCGTCACTCCATCAAGTTGTCAGCCTTGTGGCTCTCTCATCTTCGCAACAAGTCCCAGGGGCCAGAGGGATTGCGGTTGGTCTCGTCATTGGGGGCAACACAGATCATTCGCGGTCCCTTTCCGTCAAGCTGCTCATTCGTCGCACCACGTTCCAACCTCATCTGTCCTCCATCAAAGGCAGATGGCCCTTTCGGCATCTCGATCTACAGAAAAAGGGTCACCATGGGCGGGCCCAGAAATATTGAACGCTGATCTAGGGTCTAGTACACAGTCAAGAGCACTCCGTCACGACATGGACTGCCATTAGTCACCTGTCCGGCGACCTAGCGTGCTCCAGTCACGTCCGCCACATGAATGATCATACAGCGGCTTCAAGCTTGGCAGCGTGACCCGATGACTCTGACAAGTCTATTAGACTACCAACGATATTTCGTCGGCATTATCATTAATCCTATCCATACAGTCACTACTATCAAACAGCATCATGGTGCCCGTAGCCTCTTTCCAACCTTCCCCCAGCTGGACTGGCTGGTAACACTGTCGCCATACCCGATTAAATACTCATGTGCTGTAATGTCTTGACGGTTGCCAGATATAACTCGCGAAAACGCTCAAGTCTCATAATCCGGAACGCCCCTGGACCTCAAGACCAGTCAATAGCTATGCCTGTGCGCGTTGAAACGTATACGTTCTTCGGAACGCTCAAAATCATGTCCGCCCAATGAAGGGTCGCCTGTCGTGCTCGATAGTTCCCAACGATGGTAACACAGGCCGAGCGCAGCCAGTCGTTCCCAGAATCTAGACTCCTATCTCTCCGGAATGGGTGACTTGGCGAGCCTCCCACCAGCGCTCACCCGCTTGGCCAGGCGTATGTCCTTTTCCCGCTGCAGCCTCTCATTTGCGCTCACATTAGGAGGCAGTGTCGGGACTGCGTCCTGAGGACCACCGATAGACTTGCCCCTCTTCTGGTCAATGTACAGCTGCGCATGGCGGCCGAGCGGGAAGGCTGGCATTGTCGCCGGAATCTCTGCTCCGTTTTGCGTGAGCATCTCGGCGACCGGGAACGGCACCACCTTGTTGGAGTCGGCGTCGGCAGTGCTCTGCGGTGCCGTTGGCGAAGGAGAGGCTGGATCTGCTGCGGCCAGTGCCAGGAATACAGCATGCGTCCCTCTCATCTTATCCACGACGTTGGGATTGGCCCTCAAGGCCAGGGCGTACAGCACCTGCTGAATCTCGTTCTTCTTGATGGCGGCCAAAAGTGTCTCGTCCGGCGTCCCGTACCGTGACAAGGTTGATGAAATCGGCTCGACGTATGCCCGGTCGACATACTTGGACGTGATAAATCGCAAGCGTTGCTCGCGCGTCGCCTGCGCTGTGGGCTTCTGAGACTGATCGAGCTTGGCTTCCCAGACCATGTTCGACACGCGGTTGCCAATCAGTAGCAACAGCTCGACAATATCGACGGTGAACGACTTGATGTCCAGGGTCAAAGACCGAACCTTGCTGATGTGCGTCCCCAACGACCGATGAATGCCGCTGCACTCGATGCACAGGATGATGCCGAGGTTGATGGAAACCCACTCGACCTTGGACCCAGATCCGCAGTCGGCGCACCACGTGTTGCCCTGATCGCAGTCGCGGACCATCTTCAGCAGCCTGTCGGGGGTCTCCTCGTAGCCAGAGCTTGTGGTTCGCACTGCCTGCGGTCTAGCACCGACTGTGGTTCTGCGTACAGGCATTCCGCTGCTTGAGCTCGAGTGCTGGTGGTGCCCATGGTGATGACCGTGACTGAGCGATTGTGACTTGCCCGTAAGGACAGAACCAATGTCCCGCCTCAGTGACGACTCGGCCCCAGATTTGCCGCCGCTTCCTGGTTTATCAGGGTAGCCTCGACCTTCCATTGCGCTCTGGAGGGCATTGTTGATGGACACAATCCAGGTGTTCATGTCCTCTTCCGATGTGGCTTGGTAGACGCGCTTTGAGTTTGGGGTAATGACTTCGAAGCAGAACCTTCTCTCCTGGTTCCGTGCTTCGCGGACGGATGCCATGCGAAGGTCAATTGGCTCGGTATGCAGATCCAGCCTTTGCTTCCAATTACTGTACTCCGAAAGCTTACCCTGATCGAGGACAATCCAGAACCTGCATAACTTGTCAGCATGGTGGCCAGATTAGATCTTGATAGATTCACTCACTTATGCCAGCCTTGTCCACTAAGACTGCGAGGGTCAACATGGCCGCTCGGACGTCCAAGCGCCCAGAGAAGTCCTTCCTTGCGTTGAGTGACGCCCGCGTTGGAGCTCTCGTGGCGCTCCTCGAGGTCGCGTATCCCCTTGAATTTAGAGCCCGACGTCGCGCCCTGGCCCAAACTTCCAGGTGACCTTGACAACTCTGCTCCATAAGTATCGCCGGGATGATTAAGGCCACCAGCGGGCACGCTCCTCAATTGTGAGCCAGTGCTGTCTGCGCGACCCAGCTCTGTGTCCGAAGTACTGGTGTTACCACTGTTCTGGTGGGACGTACCATTCGCCGCAGTCGGGATCGGGTAGGTGTTGGATGTCGTGGCTTCAGACGGCTCCAGATAAGGAGTGTTTCCCTTTTCTAGCAGACGGCGTTTCTCTTCGCGCTCGCGCCTTTGGTACTGGTACTCCTTGTCTGCGTCCATGACTTCGCTCGACAATGCCTCGAGCTCTGGTAGGAGGGCCTCCACCTTTTTGGCAGCATCCAAGAAACCCTTGGACTGAGAGTCGGCGTATTTGGTGAGATGAGAGAGCACTTCTTGCTCTTTTCGTCCCCCGTGAAGATCCTGCATGAAGCTGGAGTAATCGAAGCGCTTGAGTTCAAACGTCCGTCGCTTGCTCTGATATTTCGAGTCACTGTCGGCGAGTTTCTTAGCCTTGACCGAGTCCTGACGCTGACCTAGATAGCGCGACATGTAACTGTAATAGTCTTTGCTCTCTTCATCGAATTCGCGACGCTTTGCCTCCGCCTGCTTGATATCGACCTGGTAAAGCTTTGTCATGGGATCGATAATGATTCTTTGGAGGTTATTGTTGTTCGAGCGCTGGTATGAGAGAATCTCCCGCGCAATCTTGTCAAAGTAGTGCTCAACAGCTGGTTGCACAGCATTGGCGTTCGTGGCGGAGGCTTCGCGTAAAGCGTCGATGAAGGCGGCAAGAGCGTCGTTTGCCTCGGTCTGCGCGTAATGCGCCTGTTCCGCCCTTTTCAGTACCTTTTTCATCTGCAGACGCAGATTTCCATTCTTTTGCTCGAGAGCTTTGAGGGTCGCACGGAAGACAGGCCCGTCGTCTCCCACAGCCATGTCGTCGCCTGGTTTGGGACATGGGACGTCTACTTTCACAGGTTCCTTTGCTGCACCTGCAGCGAATGTGGGGAGCATCAAACTATGATCGTGGGCGCCGACCAGCGGCGACACTGGCTCGTCCGCTATCTCGCCAGTCAAACGAGAGTCGACTGAATGCGCCGAGGCGACTCGGATCCTCGGCGGAGAGGACAGCGCGAACGGTAAGGGAGAAGTCGGTTGGCTCAACATGGGTAGTGGTGCTGCAGTTTGTCAGTTCAATCCAAGCCAGCCCGGAAAGCGCACAGCTCTGAACATACCGGCGACAAAGTAGGAGAAGCTTGCAAGAGCAAGCAGTCTGTGAGCACGAGAGTCATACTCCACAAACTGTAATCCAGTCAGCACTCCGTGAGCATCCTACGAACACCCTTTTCAGAACTCACACTGCAAAAGTTTCTCCAACCCCCTCCTCTATCTTCTGTTGTTCTGGGCGGTTTCCACTTCCACGTCCACTCGAATGATACTGAAGGGCTCCCGTTGGTGGTATAATCGCCCACTAGTTCGACGTTGGCGTTCTTGTGTAGATTGGGGTCGGCTTGAAATTCTCGTGTGACGAGATTCTCGACTTCTCGAGGGCTGGAGCCGTAGACGAATGTCAGACCAGATACGCTCGTGTCGGTTGCTGAAGGCTGGGGATCCGTAGGCATCGACCCAGGCTGCACGGCCGACTGTGACTGGCGCATTACAAATGTGAATGTGAAGATGAGCTCGTCGTCGTTGGTGAGCTTGAGCAGGAAGCCAGGCGGGCCTCCAGTGGCAGGTGTCTCCGGGTCCTACACAGCATCAGTCCCAGTTTCTCAAGCCAAACCTGCTCCAACCACTAACCTGAACAAACTCAACAGGCGCGCCATCGCCAGTAAGTTGGGAGACGGAGAGCCTCGTGGCGGGGAAGGCATTGGGAGCGACGCTAATAGATGATCGCTTGCGCGGGCTTGTGACAACGAGAGACGTGATCGAAACTACAGCAGGGATGTGGTCAGCTTCTGAGCATGTCGACAAAGACGCTTAGGCGCTTTGCGCTTTCAACATACGCCGGTTCTGGTCTCTCAGATACAGAGAGGGCCCGTCTTCGGGCCTGCTGCTAACAATGCCCATCGCGCGAGAGGCCGCGCAGCGACGGCAGGCGAGGAGAAGGGTGCTGCGATTCGAAAACGGCTTGGGGGAAGCCTCGTCGGGACAACAAAGAGGGGTGGACAGAGCGAGTCTGTTGTTGTCTGGGGATCGGATCGGGGGACGGAAGCCAGCCAAGGCCAGTTCGAGGTCAAAGGCGACGGACGGTAGGCGATAATTGCTGGAGAGCGAGTTACAGTCGCAGCGCGGGGCTCAATCGCAGCTCGTCGGCCGTGTGGGAGGATGGAGGGTAACCGAACGCCGTCATTCGGTGGAAGATGGTCCGCCGAGCAGGGCCAGGGATGGAGCAGGGGTATCCGTAAATGCTGCTACGATTCGACTCGAATGCTTCCGAAATAAACGAGTGTCTCGCAGATGGGGAATCCGCGATAAGTTAAGTGGTTGGCGGGATGCTGAGAGCCTGAGATTGGGGAGATGGAGTGAAACGAATGGAGGTGAACTGCTAATAACGTTCTCAATCAAAAGTATGCCTGGGCTAGCTGGCGTCAACCTCTGATGGTGCTGGGGCGGCTGCCTCCAGCCCGCAGTCAATGATGGCCCATTCTCCGCCCGCACAGCCTTCTGAGCACTGATAAATTGAAGGTCAGGTAAGTGCTGGGCAGGTTTACCTTACCAGGTACTTTACTTTACTTGCACTTGCTAACCAGGTAAAGTAATTGAAATGTTTTGGCAAGTGCATACGGGTAGCTTTGGTCAGGAAGGCCTGTTCTACAACGTCCGTTAGTAAGGCAAGTGGCCGGTGAAGACTGGATTTGAGGCCGCTGGTGCACTCTTAGTCCAGTCACTACGCTAGGCAGGTACCTCCCCGGCTACCTCTTCCAGATGATCCAGTCATCAGAACACTACAACGTAAAGTACCTGGTAAGTGAGGTACCTTAACTCAAAGAACGCGAAGTAAGGGAATTTTAGGCGCAGTCCGCCCAGCTATGTCGGTTGGTGGCCACATCCTTCATTTCGACAAGTGCCCCAGCCACCACTGTGACGAAGGCGTCGACAGGGCCTCGAGGTGCAACTACGTCCGTCCAATGGCCCAATATAAACGCGGATCTGTTATTTACAAGCAGTATTACGACTTTGGGCAAACAACTGTAAGCTCCGAATTTATTAATTATAGCCGGCCAAGTGGTAGCAGCTTCAAGTTTCAACACAAAGACTGGGATGCGTCCGCCAGTGGTCCTTGGCAGGCTTCTCCAAACCGAAATGGAACGTCCGACACAATGCCCCTGCATCAATTCACATGACAATCCTCCCAAAGCAGAAATAGAATGGCTGTGTCATTCGCACGCGAGTCTGGCAGTCCCTGTGATCATGTCCGCGCGTTTTGATCATCAGCAGATTGATCACACTGTCAAGAGACACGCGCACTTGTGGCATCGTCGCGTCTAACACAAAGTCCTGGAACAGTCTTGAAACGCTCTGTGCGTCCCTGGAGAGTCGCGGCGGCTATCCGTACAGGCGAACTGCGTCTGGTGATCAGATATCAATGTTCAGCCTCTTTGATCTAGTTGAGATTCAGTCGAGATAAAATAAAGGGAGCCCCAAATAATAGGTTGTTGGATTGAAGAAAGCAAGTCGGCTGTGAAGTATCTGAATTATGGATGTAATTACGTCGCATTATCGCTCTCATTAATTGCTCGTAAAGGGATTGACTTGTTGATCCCGGAGCTTGATCGACCAGTATAAACCATTGTAGGAGCCAACAAAGGGTATTGATCCTGAGATATCGCCAAGCCCTTGAGGAATGCGTCGCAGCCAATACTTCAGCAAGAGATGCAGTCTTGCGAGGCGAAAGTTGTATGATTCAACAATGTCGCTTGCAAAATGGCTGAATGTATTCGATCCTCATCACATTCACACCAAGCTAAGCTAATGAGCAATGCGCTACGGTAGCTGTTTTGCAAAAGGGCTGAAGGGAGCGGCCGAGGTGGCACTGGCCGACCCCCTTCGTTGGCGTGTATGACGTTTTGCCGCGGTGTGGACCTGTCCTGACCTCCAGTCCACCAGCATGCCCTGGGCTGGGCAGCAACCTCCAGTTCCTTTGGGAACTTCCAGGGTCCAATCCAGTCCTTCTCGTGTTGCCGCAGGCGTTCAGGCAGGCCACCACGCATCATCCAGATACTGTCTTCAATCAAACGCTCCTTCAAGTGACTCGTTTTTTCATTTGCACCAACTCGACTCGATCAGGAGAACAGGCCCGTACGCCGGCACCCCGCCAGCGTCGTGGTAGCATGCTGTGAAGCGCATCCGTTCGCCCCATTGCACTTGGGCACTATCTCACCTACGAAGCCCAGCGTCGAGCACGACCTAGCGCGACCGCTATACGACAATGTCAACCGCCTCGAGACAGTCACGCCGTCCCAGTCGGAAGCCTGTCAATCAGAGCAGGGACCTAGGCGAGCCGCGGCCGGGTTCGCGAGCGCACACCGTCAATGTCGAGCACGAGGAAGCGCGAAGCTTTGCTTTGCGCACGGCTTTTCTTCACTACCTTCTCCAGCCCAAAGCTAAGCGGAAGCAATATGTCAGCAATCCCAAATCAACGCCGCGATCGCAAACAAGTGTGGGACAGCTTGTCCAGGAATATGGTTCGGGGGGCATGGCCAAGTTGCCGCACAACTTTGCCGGACCACTCTTGGATCGCGTCGGGAAGATCCTGCGAGGGCTGGAAACTCTACCAGGCTACGACGATGCGGCTGTGAAGCGGAGCTTTGCTGAAGCGTACACGGCATTTTCCGAGCGGAGCTTCCGCAAAACTATCGACAAGGAGAGGAAGTTTGAGCCCCTGATGCTCATCTTCTACTCACAGGCAACCAAGGCAGCACAAAGGGGCAGAGCCCCCGACGACGACTCGTGGAAACTTCTACCCGACCGCCACCTTGCACTCTTTGTGCGGATGGCTATCGACGTCTTGCGGACTTCAGGGCACGACCGTGATCGCCCGGAGCTGGTTGCGAGGATGAAGACGTTGGAGAACAAGCTCCTCACAAACGACCAGAACTTGGTGGGCAACGGCACAGACGGCCACGGATCAACCATAGAGGTGGTTGTACCCCTGAGCTACGACGTCAAGGACATGCCCCTGGTTCACGTGGTCGCCAGTATTTTTGGACTGAGTTTCTCGGAGGTGCAGGCTGAGATCGACGAGAATAAGCAGACTTGGACCGAGGAAGCCGCGCTGAAGGATCTAAAGAGCTATCAGCATCGTCTCAACTCGAATCTCCCGGGGGCGCTCCGGAGCCAGGACTTCGATGTGGACGAGGCTTTCGAGGAGTGGAAAAAAGCAGAGGCACCACATCTCTCGCAGATGATGCTCGATATCCTCACAGCCAAGCCGCTCCTGGCCAAGACCTCGACAGCGCCCTCAGAACGTCCACTGCCCAACCGGCCGCAGTCCATGTTCACTGGTGATCAAGCCTACGCGGATCTCAGTCGAGCCCTCTCCAGCTCCGCAGACACCGGTGCAGCGTATGATCCGCACCTCAGTATTAGCTCTCTGTCCATAGGGGACACTGGTAGTATTCGCACCGTCGGAGAGGCTTTATACACGTTCATTCCTCCGGAGCCACGAGCCTTCTACAAGTATATCCTCCAGCATGCCATGACCTTTGATCAGATCCATGCAGATCCTGAGGTGGATTATCAGCCTCTATCTAAACAGTCACTTGAGCTGCTTGCGGAATTGGCGGTACGATGGCGGATCCCGCAACCATCGAGGCTGATTGCTCTCTTGGAGGTAGCTGGGCGAAAGTTTTTGGACCAGGAAATTGTGGCGGAAGAATTGGACACAGTCTTTGACTGCGTCAAAGGCCCGCAGCCGGAGCTGAAGAAGCATCCGCACATACAAAATTTTGCCCTGCCGCTGACCGAGATTGACCATACACGATGGCCGATGCAAGATTTCGTGCTGTACCAGCAGACTCTGCAGTTGCTGCATGAGGCACTGCTGCGGGAGTTGTATAATCTTATGGAGCAGTGTTACGATGCCAGGCCACCGAACATTGGACCCGTCATGTTCATCTTGGAGAACCATATCACGACTGATCCAGTTTTCACCGTCAAGCAGCATGTGGCAGCTGAATTTACTGAGCATCTGTCCCAAGGTCTTCGCGAACGGGCGGTTGCGGCGTACCGTCGGTATATGGAGGAAGAGATCCCCCAGTACAAAGAAGACTGGGAATTCGGACACGTCGTCAAGTTGGGCAAGTCCGTCACCAAGCTGTGCGACCGAATCAAGAAGAGATACAAGAACATGCCGGAGATCATGGGCGTCGACCCATTCTACACCCTGGTCGACGAAGTATTCCCCAGTTTCGAGGGAGATGCCAAGGCCATCATCGAAGCCATCATGCAGACCGTGCAGGACGAGGGTGCCGAGATTGACATTCAGGACGGGTTCGAGCTCTACCGGGAACTCGTGGCAATCCGTCGTATCCACCGGAGTGAGCTCGAAGAGCAGCCCTTTGCCTTCGACATTGAGGAGCTGCTGGTCGGCTTTGTGTGGCGCTGGATTCGCATCGCGGAAGGGCGTATGGAGGACTTTGTCGAATCGGCGATCAAGCAAGACCAATTCCAGGTCCGCATCCAACACGCTGAGAACATACCAACAGACAGTGAGCGGCATAGTGTTTCTATCATTGACCTGTTCATGTTCTTCAACCAGACACTACAGGAGGTCTTTGCACTCGAGTGGAACAACGAGGAGCACCATGCGCGGTTCATGACAGCTCTGGCCAGGGCCTTCTCTACGGGCATAGGCCGATACTGCGAGATCGTCGAGCAGCGGTTCGCCAAGGAGATGGACCGGCCATCGGTCGAAGAGCTCGCGGCTGCGCAACGGTCGACCCAGGAGAAGTGGATGCAATATGCAAAAGATGCATGGAGCAACAAGGAGAAGATGGAGCCTTTTCATTTCTATCCCGAGGTAGGCGCCTAGGGACATGCACGCAAGACTGGCATACTGACTGACAATCTAGTCATTCGTGAAACTCAACAACATCGAGTACGCGATGCAGGAGTTTGACAGGCTCGACAAGAAGATGAACCCAGACGGGTGCGCGGCGGTGATCGCCAAGTACGAAGGGCCCAGCAGAAAGCGTTCGAAGAAACCGAACAAGTACACCTTCACCATCAAAGTCATCGAGGCAGAAGATCTCAAATCCTGCGACGCGAATGGGTTTAGTGACCCCTATGTTGTCTTTGGCGATGAGTATCAAAAGCGCCTGCACAAGACGCGTGTGATCCACCGCAACCTGAATCCGCGGTGGGACGAGTCTTTCGAGGTGACGGTGCAAGGCGCCGTCAACATGATCGCGACGATCTGGGACTATGACACCTTTGGCGATCATGATTATGTTGGCAGAACCTCCGTCAAGCTCGATCCGGCGCACTTTGGCGATTACTTGCCTCGCGAGTTCTGGCTCGACCTGGACTCGCAAGGCCGACTATTGATCCGCGTGAGCATGGAAGGAGAGCGTGACGATATCCAGTTCCACTTTGGCAAAGCATTCAGGCATCTAAAGCGAACGGAGCGAGACATGGTGCGCAAGATCACAGACAAAGTAAGCCGTCCCTTGATCTGTTTAGTTCCAAGCAAGCAAGAGCTAACCATGTGCAGCTCACGAGCCAGATCAGCGCAACTTTGTCGCACGAGACGCTTCGCAACTTGCTCGGCATTGGCGGCCTAGGTGCTACAATGACTGGTCTCTGGAAGAAGCGCACGTCTACAATGCCCACTGCAGTAACCAATGCGCAGAAGGAGGCGGTACTTGCCCCCCTGCTCGAGTACTTTGACGAGAACTTCGCCATTATGAAGCAGACCCTCACCGACGCCACCATGGTGGCTGTCATGACACGCCTGTGGAAGGAAGTCCTCATGACCATTGAGAACCTTCTGGTGCCACCGCTGTCGGAGAAGCCATCGGCGCAGAAACCTCTGTCACGTCGCGAGGTCGATGTGGTCTTTTACTGGCTACAGATGCTGTTTGACTTTTTCAACGCGCGTGATGCGGAGACGGGCGAGCAGATGGGTGTGCCAAGCGAGGTGCTCAAGTCGCCTAAGTGGCACGAGCTTGCCTCGTTGAACTTTTTCTACTTTGAAGACACCAACAATCTCATCGCCGAGTCCGAGCGCATGGCCGCTGCCACCGCCAAGCGTGCCCAGCAGGCTCTCCTACAGCAGCCATCCACGACACCGCACGCGGCACCATCCACACGCATGTCTGCGGGACCGTCCTTTGCGGCGGCGGGCGCGTTTGCCAGCATGGGCACGATTCGGCGCGGCAAGAGCATCATGATGAGCCGCAACCTCGGCACGATGCGCAAGGCCAAGGAGGCGAAACGACAACAGGCGCAGGCCGACCCGAGCGACGACATGATCTTACGCATCCTGCGTATGCGGCCTGAAGCCGCGGGCTATCTCCGGGAGCGCCACCGACAAAAGGAGAGGCAGGCTGCCACGGCTGCAGCTGCGTTGATTGTCAAGAACAGTGTGAATCAAGGCTGGAACGCTGGAAGAAACAGTCTACCGAGGAGATAAAGGGGGGAAAGACGCGACTGCATTAGGCCTGTCTGAGGCGCGTGTTGCTTGGGATGCTGCTGTACGTCTCGAATTTATATGTTATATTGGGTCAAGGCAGAGGAAGCATTGGCATCAGATACCCTCATGCGTATAGCGGCGTGTTTGTGAATTGATCAAAGACGACTTTTCTTTTTCGAATGCCAGAGTCTAATATGTGAGGGACCTACGCAGAGACGAAGCACTTACCCCGACCCAGCCATCAGATCACAGCAGCAAGGGGCATTCCAACATAGTCTCAGGTTGTGCCACCACATTGTGTGCTGCAAGACACCCAGCCATGTGGCACCGGATCTTTGGATCCGAGCAGCTGTTGCGGTGTTGCATCCATGTTATCTGCTGACCGAGCCCACAGCCCGACGTATTTCCAGACAGGCGCATCCTGACAAAGGAAGTGAGTGACTTGACTGTCCGAGGGAAGCGTCGATTTGCTCGGAAATTTTTAGGGGTCCATCTTGGCGGCGTTATTTGGCGGCGGGAGAGACTAATTAGAGGCTAGGAATGATCCTGTAGCGGGTCCCCGAGAAAAGGGGAAGAGACGTCGGTGAGGAGGTACAAGTCGAACGTGGCGTTTCGTTTTGTGTGGGCCGCGTTTTGTGATCTTGGCTTGAGATGGAGTTGACGACGTGAGCGACTTCGGTCGAGAGACAGGCCTACAGGAGGTTTGAGGTGCGGATTGTTCTTTGCGACACAGAGTACGTACCGCAGAGTTCAGGGGCCTTTGCCGAGATGCGCGCACGGACCACGCTAAAGCGATTGCCCATTGGCTCTCGCGAGAGCTCCGAGGTGAGCTAGTCCAATTGGAGCCTCAAGAAAGTCAATGCCAAGAATGACGTCGGTCACTGGGGGCTTGTTCGGCTGCTAGCCTGACAGGGCCTAATTAGCTGCCCAGGGGATCCCCTTGGTGGACCGCGCTCAACAAGAGCATCTCGACTGATGGTCCCCTAAATGTCCGATGCGGATGGCTGGGAAAACGGGCTAGGTCTACGTATGCAGCACGGAAGCATGCCACAATTAGAATCCCATGGTTCTACTAGTCATTCTTGCGGTTTGGCATCTCGACGTTGGAACAAGTGCCATAGTATCGAAAAAAGGGGTCCAGAGCATCTTTGCGCTCCTGTCGTCTCGTGGAGTCAGTCCTCTGAAACATCCTGATCGTGGAGAAGAGGAACTCAGACCACCAATCTATGGTCACTCTTTGCTGCTACAGTGCAGATCTGTCGCTTACAGGGTAATGATTGTCTGTGGCACTGATTAGATTCGTTGCTCCTCGCCCAAATGCATCACTCGGCGGGCGCTCTTAGCGCGAGCCAGCGCCAGCCAAGTCCAATCCCGGCGAAGGTGCGGCGGATTTGATGGGCGGTAGTTTGATTAATTAACTAAGTACATACGGACAGAACAGTGTTGGCGGATAGGAGAGCAGTTAATCACTCTGAGGCGTTCGGTCGTGATTCGCCAGTCGCAAGGCCCAGCGGGGACCAGCTTGGGGTCTGCAAGCAAGGGACGACGGGGCGGGGAAACTTGGTGAAGGAAGGGTGCGAGGCGGCCCTGAATGCCTCAGCGAAATGGCCTTGAATAGTTCGCGAAGTCCACCGCTTCTGGATGGTAGAAATAAGAAGAAGTTGCCAGGTTTGTCGGATCGGAATCGAGGTTGACATGGACCTCGTGTTCACGGCCGCAACCTGGAGCGCAAAGGCCGTGACAGCACTAGGAGCCGCCATCTTAGGGAAGGCGCCTCATGCACAGTGCGGCAAGCTGCCATTGAGCCCTAGGACTTCCCCACATCCGCCCCCGGGTACAGGCGTTGCACCACTGGCCACGAGTGTACTGGCACATGCATTCACTGCAGTGACTTGTTGTTGCCATCGCCCTGCTTTACACAAAAGTGAGGCGTGGCGTGTTGGGGATGGGTTTCTAGAAAGGGAGGAAAAGGTATGGCCAGCGTCCACTATTTGTATGTAGGTTGGCGCGCGATTGCGGCGGTCTGTTGTGAGCGAGCCAAGCGGCCAAGCCACAAAACATGCTGCTTTGCGACTCCGTATGCTTGGCTCCAGCTGTTCGCCGTTGCGAAACATCCGCAGTTTTCTACGATCCTCGGCGCCCGTTACATCTCCCAGCAAAGCAACCGTGATTGCTGCAACGACTCGTGACTGTGAAATGCACCGTACTATATACTACATGGAATCATCCGGCCTTGAAAAGGCCAATCTGATATTCGTCTTGCATTTGGCGTAGGCCGTGCAAATGCAGGTGGACCCTGACAGTGAGCACACCACCACGCATGGGGCAATCGATCGATGGCCTCGTACGATTTCAGGGTCGTAGCTTGCTGTTAACACGATAGACCGACCCTATCTATTGCGAAAGCAAGGCGTTGCCAGTGGTTTGCCCAGGCAGGACTTACAAAAATGACCGTCGGGTGTTCAGTTCTGTCGGCACTGTACTGATGAAATACGAAGTTCTATTACCAAGTACTTCTCAGCAGATTGGAACAAACAGCAGTCTGTGGTCTGACCACTTTTCTAGAAAGGTGATGGTGCCCTCGTCAATTCAAGCCTCAATTATTGCGCCGCGCCAAAGTCCCCTGACGCGAGTCCTTTCTTGACCTACACACCTGTTGATGGGAATTCAGCCACCGGCCGAGCCTCCTTCCCGAGGATGCACGTTACGTACATGCGGAATAAAGAATGCGAGCTGTCTGCTCCAGGCATTCCTCAAAGGACGTCAACCCAAGACCCTGCTTGCACACTTGCCATTGGCCGCTGGTCAAGCGATACAGAGTGACTGGACGTGGATGCTACAGCCTTGTCCTGCTGACCCCTCAGCAGAGCATGCTCTCGCCGCCTCACCCCCTAATAAACGCTCTGCGTAAAATACTCTACTGCAACTGTCTGATAGTAGCCCGTCTGAACTTGGACGTGATGTTGATAGGGAACTCCACCACCTACCGTATTCGAGTGCATGAGTGCATATGCTATGCCCTCCAGTCCCGTCTGCCTGTCGCGACCTCGGGCTCCTGTCCCTCCAGCTGTATATTCCCCCCGGAGTGACCGTGCCAGTGGCCCGCCCACAAGACAGCGACCCTCGCTGCCGCGCCAGCGCCCTCTGATTGGGCTGCATGTCGTAGCCACCCACCCGACTCCATCGACTGCACCGTACCGGCCTTAGCCCAGTCAGTCAGTCAGGCCCCCCCGTGCCATCCATCCCAGCACAGTCCACTCCACTCCCATCCATCCCAAGTATTCATCACTTTTCCTTTCTTTCCCAGGCTACCTTACCTATCTCGCCTCCCGTTCTCCCATCTGTCTTTGACCTCTTCACGCGAGAGGGTAAGGGAAGACGAAAGCTTCCCGCGGCGAGTTTATCTTCAGTCGACGACATAGCGACCGACACGACGCTCCCCTTTGCCGACACTTTTCGTACTGTGTCCCCTGGATCAGTTGGTGGGCTATCTATCAACTCGCTCCATCCGCCTTCGCCTCGCATGTGCTAAGACATCCGGTCGCCTGACGCTCTTTGCTCCATTCGACGCATGCCGATTTGCTCACATCTTCTCGAGTCTTGCCGAATAATGCTGCATCTGCTTCGCTGATTTTCCACTGTTCTTGATCGCCTCTTGAGCTCATTCGGTCACTTGACTTCGCGACAACCCGCCTCTGCTTCGACCACCCCAGACCAAATCACCGGCACTCGACTTGCCACCGCGGCATCGGTGCCATCTGTGTCCCACGGCTCGCATTGCAATACCGTCGATTCATTTTTCGCATACAGTGTGCTTTCCAGTACTCGACTGAGCCACTGGTTAAGGGCTCGTCAGTCTGCTGCGAGTAAGATCAGAACATGATGGTCGACGATGCAGCGCTCGCCACGGCGGCCGAGTTCATAGCCTCCTTGGCTGCCGACCCCAAGTCCCCGTCAGTCATTCCTTCAAAGCTGGGTGGCGACGTCAAACTCCCTGGTCGCGAGACTCCTGCCAAACGCAACCTCGAGGTAGAGTTGCACAAGCTCTCACTGCGAGTCGCTGAGCTCGAGAGCCGGGCGGCAGCCGCTGTCACCTTTCCAGAAACACCAAACGAAGGTCCAGACTCTCTCTTCGGCGATGACGGGGGCGCTTCGCCGTCGGGCAGTCGCCCGACATCCTCGCGGCCCAAAGTACTTCCCAATGTAGGCCATGACCGTCCCGGCTTCATGCCCCGCCAGCTGACAAAGGAGGCTCTTGAGGGCTTGCGGGAACACGTTGATGACCAGTCGAAGCTTCTCGATAGCCAACGCCAGGAGCTCGCTGGTGTCAATGCCCAATTGCTTGAACAAAAGCAGCTACAGGAAAACGCCCTAAGAATGCTCGAGCAAGAGCGGGTGGCCACTCTGGAGAGAGAACTCTGGAAGCATCAAAAGGCCAACGAGGCTTTCCAGAAAGCTCTCCGAGAGATCGGCGAGATTGTGACCGCAGTCGCTCGTGGTGATCTCACCATGAAAGTACGAATGAACACCGTGGAGATGGATCCCGAGATTACTACATTCAAGCGCACAATCAACGCCATGATGGACCAGCTCCAGATATTCGCAAGCGAAGTGTCGCGCGTCGCGCGTGAGGTCGGTACTGAAGGTCTGCTTGGTGGCCAGGCCCGCATTGGCGGCGTCGACGGAACCTGGAAAGAATTGACGGACAATGGTGAGATTCTTCCTATATACAGTGACTCGGATGGCAGTCTGACTGGAGTACAGTGAACGTCATGGCCCAAAACCTGACAGACCAAGGTAAATGACCCATGCTTCTCACGCCCTCCAATCATGCTAACGACCCAGTCCGAGAAATTGCTTCAGTGACCACCGCGGTCGCCCACGGAGACCTGACGAAGAAGATCGAAAGACCCGCCCGCGGTGAGATTCTACAATTGCAGCAAACAATCAACACCATGGTGGACCAGCTCCGAACCTTTGCCTCTGAGGTCACACGTGTTGCAAGAGATGTCGGGACGGAAGGTATATTAGGAGGACAGGCAGACGTTGGAGGTGTTCAAGGCATGTGGAATGACCTTACTGTCAACGTGAACGCCATGGCCAACAACCTCACAACGCAAGTGCGTGACATTATCAAGGTCACGACAGCTGTCGCCAAGGGCGACCTCACACAAAAGGTCCAGGCCGATTGCAGGGGCGAGATCTTTGAGCTCAAGTCAACCATCAACTCCATGGTAGACCAACTGCAGCAATTCGCCCGCGAAGTTACCAAGATTGCTCGAGAAGTCGGCACCGAAGGTCGTCTGGGCGGACAAGCGACTGTCCACGACGTCGAAGGCACATGGAGGGATCTGACGGAGAACGTCAACGGCATGGCCATGAACCTCACCACACAAGTGCGAGAGATCGCCAAGGTCACAACAGCTGTCGCCAAGGGTGATCTCACAAAGAAGATTGGAGTTGAAGTCAAGGGAGAGATTCTGGAGATGAAGAACACAATCAACCAGATGGTGGACCGGCTCGGCACTTTCGCGTTCGAGGTCAGCAAAGTCGCCCGCGAAGTCGGCACCGACGGTACGCTGGGTGGCCAGGCTCAAGTGGCAAATGTGGAGGGCAAATGGAAAGATCTCACCGAAAACGTCAATACCATGGCGTCGAATCTCACCGTCCAGGTGCGCAGCATTTCTGCTGTGACACAGGCCATTGCCAACGGAGACATGAGTCAGACGATCGACGTTCAAGCCAGTGGAGAAATACAGGTCCTCAAGGAGACCATCAACAACATGGTCGGTCGACTCTCTAGCTTCTGCTACGAAGTGCAGAGGGTCGCCAAGGATGTGGGCGTTGACGGCAAGATGGGAGCACAAGCTGACATTGCTGGCCTCAATGGACGGTGGAAGGAGATTACCACTGATGTCAACACCATGGCTGCCAACTTGACGACACAAGTGCGAGCCTTTTCTGACATTACGAACTTGGCCACGGATGGGGACTTTACCAAGCTCGTCGACGTTGAGGCGTCGGGCGAGATGGACGAGCTCAAACGGAAAATCAACCAGATGATTTCGAATCTCAGGGACAGTATTCAGAGGAATACGCAGGCTCGTGAAGCCGCCGAGCTGGCCAACAAGACCAAGTCGGAATTCCTCGCGAATATGTCCCACGAGATCCGCACGCCCATGAACGGAATCATCGGTATGACCCAGTTGACTCTAGATACCGACTTGACACAGTATCAGCGGGAGATGCTGAATATCGTCAATAATCTTGCGAACAGCCTCCTGACGATCATCGATGATATTTTGGACCTGTCCAAGATTGAAGCCAGACGAATGGTGATTGAAGAAATCCCGTACACACTACGCGGAACCGTCTTCAACGCACTCAAGACTCTGACAGTCAAGGCGAACGAGAAGTTCCTCGACCTCACCTACAAGGTGGACAGTTCCGTGCCGGACCACGTGATTGGTGATTCATTCCGACTGCGCCAGATCATTCTCAACCTCGTCGGCAATGCCATCAAGTTTACGGAACATGGCGAAGTCAGCCTCACCATCCAGGAGCGGGCAGAGCAGCCTCAGATCGAGGTCGGCTACTATTCGGTCGAGTTCATTGTGGAAGACACAGGCATCGGCATAGCTAAGGACAAGCTGGACCTGATCTTCGACACGTTCCAACAGGCCGACGGGTCCATGACACGCAAGTTTGGTGGTACCGGCTTAGGTCTGTCCATCTCGAAGCGTCTCGTCAACCTCATGGGAGGCGACCTATGGGTGATCAGCGAATCCGGGAAGGGCAGCCAATTCCACTTCACGTGCAAGGTGAAGCTGGCTTCCGATGATACCTCAATGCTTGAGCGACAAATTAAGCCTTATCGCGGGCACCAGGTACTCTTCGTCGACAAGGCTCAGTCGCGGACAAGCGCGGAGATCAAGGAGATGCTCAAGCGCATCGGGTTGATCCCTGTTGTGATGGACTCTGAGATGAGCATGCAACTCAAGCACATGGCGAAGACGGGCGGTCAGTTGCCATACGACGCCATTCTCGTGGACTCGATAGATACGGCCAGGCGTCTGAGGTCGGTGGACGACTTCAAGTACCTGCCCATTGTGCTCATGGCTCCTGTCGTGCACGTCAGCCTCAAGTCGTGCCTCGACCTAGGCATCACATCCTACATGACGACGCCCTGCAAGCTGATTGACCTGGGCAACGGCATGATTCCCGCTCTGGAGAACAGGGCGACCCCGTCCCTTGCTGACAATACGAAATCATTCGAGATCTTGCTGGCGGAAGACAACACGGTCAACCAGAAATTCGCTGTCAAGATCCTCGAAAAGTACCACCATGTTGTCACGGTCGTGGGCAACGGCTGGGAGGCCGTGGAGTCGGTGAAGGAGAAGAAGTTTGATGTCATCTTGATGGATGTTCAGATGCCTATCATGGTAAGTTCATCGCGGTGCTGTATTGGTCAAAGTACACTGTGCTAACGTGAATGCAGGGCGGCTTCGAAGCTACGGGTAAGATCCGAGAATACGAACGCAGCATGGGGTCACACCGGACGCCCATCATCGCCCTGACCGCGCACGCCATGATGGGTGATCGCGAGAAGTGCATCCAAGCCCAGATGGACGAGTATCTGTCCAAGCCGCTGCAGCAGAACCAGCTCATCCAGACGATTCTCAAGTGCGCTACGCTCGGTGGCCCGCTGCTCGAGAAGAACAGGGAACGCGAGCTGGCGCTCAAGGCGGACGCCAAGGCGTCGAGCAGCAAAACGAACGACGGGCTGTTGCGGCCCAGCTTGGAGAACCGCTCCTTCAGCACCATGGAGCCCATGACGAACACGGCGATGGAGAGTCCTCCGCTCCTCTCGGCCAACCAGACTGACCCTGTCAACAAATCACGACACGATTTGACGGACATGCGCAGCCTGACGAGCTAAGTTGGAGGCATCTGCTGTCTGTTCTTTGGGTGTTTTGGGAGAGGGCAACGGTCATTCGCTGTTGGTTTTGATCTTGGGAACTGCGTCAGTTTTTACACAACATGGGCTTCGATGATGGGCAGGATCACACGGCGACGTTTCGGTCGCTCGCCGATGAGGCAGTATTCAGGCGGGAGAGGCTGGGGGGGGGGGCGTGTGTGAGTGAACACACAAGATATGTGTGGAGCGGCATTGGTAGCCCAGGAAAGGGCCATTTCTTAGCGATCCTGAGATATCACTGGTGCGGTCTTTGGTTGAAAGGTGTTTTTCTGTAACGTTTTTTCTGCACTCATGGAAGAATGCTTGAATATGGTCGATCTAGGCTTTTTATATACAACGAACGCTGTGTGTCTCGACCACTGGACTAGGTGAATCTGACGATGTGTGCTGCTGCTTCCCAATACTACATGAATCCGGAACGCCCCTTGTCCTACCCCTTGCCGGTCAAAGCAAGCCAGCCAGCCCATCGTGGACGTATATCACTCCGCCTTGGTCTCTTTGCTTGAACCTGAAGGCTGTTCATCTTCTTTCTTGTCGGCGATGCCGGCACGTGCGCCGTCAGAGGACTGCTTGTTCTCGCCAGTGGCCTTTTCGACATCAGCCGCGTCAAAGGCGGCGAGTATGGCGTCAAGCTTGCTCTCCAGGTTACTCAGGTTGTTCTCCATGGCAGTCGCGGCTTGCTCCCCGCTAGAAGTGGTTCACGTCAACATTGATGTCTTGCGTGGCATGTGAAGATGGAGTATGACAGTGAGGACAGGGAGTTATTGTCACGACAGGTGGGTAGGGCAAGGTCGTCAATATCAGTGAGGCAGTGGTCTGCTTGGTCGAATGGTTGAGTGCTTCACAAGAGAGACATACCGCATGATTTCCTTGTATGCCTATACAATGAGATCTAGGTCAGCATCAGGGGGTTTGTAAGTCTCTTTGTCCTTCTTTCCCCAGGGGGAACGCGGGGGTGGATGAGAAGGGGGGTCCATGTTTCGGTTCCTCATGGCAGCAGGATAGATAGTAGTACATGGGCGTGGGACGGGAAGAAGGACTGGACCGTTCAAAACGTACCTGTGCTAGATCGGCCTCACTCCGAACCTCGCCGTTCGATTGGCCCTGCTGCTGCTGGTGCTGGGGATCATCTTCCGGTGCGGTCATGGCGACGTTGCGTCGGGGCTAAAGGAGGAATAGGTAGAGGAGGTGTGAAGATGCTGTCACTGCTGTGCAGGATTGACAGCTCAGGGTCCTGTCAGGGACAGGCAAGATCTAGTCTAATTAAGAGATGTCGATATTTCGGGTATGGAGGTTTGTCGGATGCCCGGTCTAGATCAAATTGGCTCGTCTGCCCTTGGGCGAGTCACAGTCACGGTTGAGGGGTGGTGGGGAGCGGGGTCGACACTCTTTGTTCCTTTCCCGTCCGAGTGGGAGGTGATTCACAATACCTGTAATTAATATAACTGAAGAGTACCTTAAGGTAAGTTATGTGGTCAAGACAATAGGATCTGCAAGACGCTGGGTCTAGATGCACGCGTATGCACCCCTACTGTATGCGACTGACGGGGAAACTCTATGCCTGAGTGTACCTTGTGCTTGCGATGTCGATTGTCACCTTTATTGACGTTAGTGCTTGTATACTGACAAATGGCCGTATCCACAGTCAACGTCTTCTAGACCCTCATCTGGCTCGATGCTGTAAGATTGGCAGGGAGGCTGAATGCCGGATTGGCTTATTAACTACGTACTCAAAGATCCGCATTCGGTGGCGCTCGACTTTCGACAATGCCATGTCCCTGAGAGTCTGGACCTCTGTCGACCAGACTAGACTGGTGTAGGGTCACCCATGCCATCTTACCTACCCTACATCTCACACTCAGGACTTTGGTTGTATCAGGTCGAGGCAGCTGGCACCCTGTCAAATGTCACAGAAAATCACCAGAAATGTATCGATGGCTTGATGTGATGCCAACCCCCTTGTCCCTCACGAGGCGACCTGACCGGCTGTCGTGAGACTGGTGACCAGTCGTACAGGGTCTGTTGGACCGTTTTCTCACCATCTCAAACGGGGCAAATCCCATGGCCGCAGCATGGGAACTTTGGAGGGGGGCACCACCACCTGTTCGACAATCCCGTCCAGAGCTTCAAAAAATGCCCGTAACCCCTGCGCCACACCGGACCAACGGCCATGACGAGTGTCTCAGTGCCTGGATCGAGAATTGGGGGTTTTCATCAAGGCGACTCGCCTCTATACATGTCGGTAAAGATGCATCTCGATCAAAAACTGTTGGATGAGATTTGATCGGATACCACTTATCATATTGAGGAAAAAGGGAGAATTCAACAACAATGAGTGGCCTGGACGGCCAACGCGCCTACCGTGTAAGTGCGTACCTTAGGTGAATCGATCAACAATAACGGCATGGCTACGGAGCATGCACCTCACCTTGAACGGTAGTATGTATCATCTGGAGCGGATGGGTGGTTCTAGCAAGCGTTCAAACCTCGATGTAGGCGCAAAGGGGAGATTCCCATGGAATCGGTGCCGTGTGACAGGTTCCATGGGCAATTGAGCTAGAGCGTGAAGAGGCAAGGCAGGCTCCATGAGCAAGCATGGTAAAGCTAGAAAAGGGAATGCGCAAATGGACCGTTATTTACGATGATGGCACCCAAAGCTCGATTCTCGCTGATGGGCAGCGGTTGGTCCAGATCATGTGCAATCGTGGGACAGGGTCCGTCGTGGTCTCCTGCGCGGCCAATGGGCAGGATTCTGCGCGCACACCATGGGGTAGTCCTAATGTCCGGCGTGGAGATGCCAGACGGCGCTCCGTTCCCCATCTCAAAGTTCAAGTTCGTTGTCTCTGGGAGCGCTTTGCGCCGAACCACTGCCCGGATATGCTCCAATGTTTGCCAGCATCTCACGTATAATACAGCAGTTGTACAAAACACAGCCTGTTCCAAGGAGCATCATCTCGATCACTGGTCAAGTATAGTGCCTACCTGCCCTTGCTACATGCGCATGCTCTCAACGTTGCCTTTCGCCTCAATTAGAATTACCGGAGAGAAAAGGCATTATCACGGGATCGAGATCCAAAATGTCGCAGCTGGGATGTCATGGCCGTCTGGCGCGGACGAAAAGTGGATCCAATGATGTAGCCAGAGGAACTACTTCAACGTGGTTGCTCGCTCCTCAGGATGGCTGGCCGGGTTCGCTGGCTGGCTCGCTTGCCTCGCCCTGTTGTTGTTCTCGAGCAGGACAATGTTGGTGATTCCTGGCGTCGTCCTGGTGGTTGATCACGTTTCCACTCCCGGATCGAGCAGTATGGTCTCACCCCCTTGACGTGAATCCCAGTGATGCCTCCGCTTCGTGTGAGCGCAGAGAGGCTCATCGTCGATTCACTGGCTATTCTCGAGAGGCGGATGACGGAGGATGATGGCTATTATTCGAACTGGCGTGCCTATCCAGCCCATCGAAGATTGGGCCATCCCATCTCCGTAGATCGAGCATGTCTGAAGAAATACCCGGCCCTTGCTTCCACGGAAAGCACACCTTCCGCGTACCAAGCTCGGTTGCGGAGATCGTCGACTAATGGCAGTGATCGACGCAATCACTCCTGGTAGCGTGCTCGCACTAACGTCATGGTAACAATTCTAGAAGCGGGATCCACGTTTCATGTGTTGCAGCCGCAAGACAGTTGATAGTTGGTGCTGGCAGCTGCATCATGAACGGCCGACAGGACAAGTTGTTGACTCAAGGTCCAAGGATGGAACCCAGCCTGCTGCTTATCGGCTGTTTGCCTTCTTCACCGACTTGCTCCATACCTACATGGTACGTAGACTTGCAGCTTGTTGTAAGAGTGAGAAATGACGATTAGCTTGTGACCGTCCGTCCGGACCAGATGATCCAAGGGGTACCAGATTCAACAAGCAGCGCAACCGGTGTGAACCTATTTCCAGATCAAGGAAACCGAAAATAAGATCGCTGCCACCGGTCGATGCCGCGATCCTGTAAGTTAGGGGTCGGTTGAGCCTCGTCAACAAGAGACATGAGCCCGCCCCCGGTGTCTTGCTCTACCACACGTCCTAGGATCAGATCCAAACGCCTGAACAGTCTCAATGTTCCGTCTACCATCCGATTGCATCTTAAAGAGATGAACATGCCAATTGTAGTGATCGATGAGTGGCTTGACCTCCAGTGTCAGGGGCCATCTCCGCTCGACGTCACTGCCTTGGCGGATCTGATATGTTTATTCTGGCGAAGATGCAATAAGTACCTGCAGGCCCATCCATCTGCCCAAGTCGCAGAGGACGCATGAGGCGCAACCCGCCCACCGAAGCTTTTGATGAAGACTGACGAGGACGACGGAGCAATTCCACGTAGCGGTTTGTTGGTATCAGGATTCAGCACGTATAAACATACAAGTAGGTAAGTAATTACCAAGTTGAATGCCCAGGCTCCAGTCGCGCCCCGCCGTGGCCCGCCAGCCCTTCCTTCTTTCCTCCCCCTGTACAGCCATTGCTTGACATATCCACTCGAGGGTACGTACTCCGTAGCTTTGGAGGAAAGAACGCTCTTCCCTCCATGAAACTATGTTTAGGGCAGACAAGCTTTCGAAACCTGGCATCGTCGAATCTACGTCACCCAACCTTTGATAAGGACTGCGTACTGCTACTGAGCTTCATTAGACGCTATTAGTGTATGTTTACATAGGGTAGGTCTGGTGGTCCGGTATTTGGGTTATTTATTTGCTGTGATGATGAGCCTACCTTACAGCGGGGCTAGGCTCGATTGAGATTCTGCCGTTAGCGGTGAAAAGGTAACACCGGAAGGGTGAGAACCTGAA